AAGTTGGATGTCAAAATCATTTCAAATATAAAGAAAAATATTACGAAGGGCAAGTGAAATTTTGTAAACCTACTTAGAAAAAAAAAAAGAAAGGGACTGAAACACCAATTTAGGATACCTTTCAATTTTTAACATGGGCGCTAAAATATATTAAAATATTTCCATGTCATCTGACTTTATATTTGAATTCCAATAAGCAATTCGTGGTGAAAAACAACCCTGATTATGAGGCAGGGTGACTACCTATAATATCAGTACTGTCATCTTCAGACATTAAAAAACTAACATAGATGTGTCAATATCATTAGACACAAGCCTGAGGTTTGCAAGAACCATGCCATCGAGGTCAGACTGATTCCCAATAGCAAGTACTTGTAGTTTCTACCAGTAGAATTAAAACCTACTTCTCAAATTTAAATATTTGTCACTAACTTGTGACAGAACATCGAAAGATCTATGACCTCACTGAGCCAAATCTTGAAAGGTATAAATATATTATAATTAAATGGTAGTGTCTGTTTTCTTAGCTTCCGTATTGCTATACTCTTTTCCCACCTTTTATTGCTTTGTCACCTAGTCCACTTGCTCATTTTCTATCTTCTTTAAATTTAACTGCTAATCATGAGAACTGTTCTCCCTGGCCCCTTCCTTTGCCCAGCTCCCACTTCCCTTACCTTCCTTCAAATGAAATATATCCATATAAATTAAATGAGATCTCTTTCTTTCTAAACTTTATAAATCTGTGTTTGAAAATGAACACCTCATTCCATCCTACTGGCATTTCTGATTACTCGTTTGTTGTTGTTGTCATGGTTATTATTTTTAACAGTAACATTTCTGCATTTTCCCGTGTCTCAGTACTCTACATCTCTTTAGTGCTTCTTCTCCCTCAAGAAACATATTCAGTAGTCACCAGACCCTGTAGATTCTGCTTAGTTAGAATGAGGGTAATATCAAGGGACTAGAGAAGGGAGGGATTTGAAAGTTATTGTAAGGGAAAAAGACGAAGTATTTCACAACTGACTGGATAGAGAAGGAGAAAGTGAAAAGAGTCAAAGATGATATTCAAGAAAATAAGACTAGAAAAATCTTGTCCTGTTAATAAATATAAAGGATCTGAAAAAATGGAGATATTTCGGAGAGTATCTCTTATTACCACAACACTGTTATCATCAGCACCATTTTTAAGCACTTAATATATGCCAGGCATTATGCTAACCCATGCATATATTTTGTTTCATTTAATCCTCAAAACAAACTGATGGAGATATTGTTACCTCTATTTTGGAAATGAAGAACATAAGGCATAGAGAGTTCCAGTCATTTTCCCAAATTCAAATGGCTGGAAAATGGCAAAGTCCTTAAAAAAGACTTTTCATAGATTGTGGGAAAGAAACTAGATTTAAGAGCATTAAAGGGGGAATAGAAAATGATCCAATGGAAGCAACAGATACACTCTACTCAATGGCACTGGCAAACTAGAGTAACAAAGAAGAGAGAGTTCTTACCTTCAAATAAACGTTTCCTGTCGTAAGTAGATGTTTATTCATTACCATCCTCATTCTTAAAGGTTTACAAAATGATGTATAGTACAGTAATGTTAAAAATAAATAAATGGTGACACGGGAATGATGAGAAAATAAGGTAGCATAGTTATGTGATCTTAAGCAAAAAGTTACATACATGTGCATAGCAACTTTTTTTTAACTATGTGAGTGTGTTTATATTTTTTCATGATCTTAAATTTTTATGTTTTATTGATTTGTGAGAATTGTATGCATATTCGTTACATGGATATATTGCATAGTGGTGAAGTCTGGGCTTTTGGTGTGGGATAAGAAATTACTTAATGGGTACTACATATCCTAATTGGGTGACAGTTATATAAACAACTTTTAAGAATGGTATGCATTTTATATTTAAGTATTATAGCTGCCAAACATAAAAAGAAATCTGATCATTTTATGAAAAAAAAGTTGTATTATAAAATACAAGTATTTCAATCACACAAGAATAGCAAACTTTTTCATACCTTTGAAGGATTAATTATCTTGCATTTTATTTATAAAGTGAACACTGAGTAATACATTTTATAGGGGTTGTTTTCGTGAATGTCCCAGCAATGAATAGTACAGTAAACTATATAAGGCTGGATTTCTTATGGTGTCCTCCACTCAAGATAAAATTATAGCTATAAGGGCAATATAGTGAACATCATGGCTTCAAAATGATATATTCCCAGTATACTATTTCAGTGTCACATAAATTAGATGTGTGCATTTTTGGTAGCAAAAGGGATGTGAAAATAGATAGATTCAAAAAGAGAGGATTAATGTTAATGTGGGAACAAAATCTCACACCAGAAGTTATAGCCAGATAATGGAATTTAAAGTCTACATAAAGTAAGATTGAGACTACAAATCATCTTTTTTCGTTCAATACTCTCACTTTGATAAAAAAGAATGAACCATATTTATGATGTAAATTGTTCAAATGCAGAAATAAGGTGTCACATTACTTTCTTATTTTTTATAAATCCTATGGCACAAAGAACAGCTCTATACTGACTTGAATCTCTGGAAATATTTGTTGAATATTAATGTATGGTTGTTTTCCTTAAATTTGAAGATAGATGGTGGTATTATATATATAATTATATTCATGCAATAATCATCAGATAAGAAATATAAAAATTGCATGTTCAAGATTCAGATATTGATATTATTTCCTCTAAATTTACATATTTTCTGCAGGTGTTAATCATGTATATATAGCTATATTTGCGGCCTGCATGCAAGGCACATATGTGTATGGTTTAGAAAGTCCTTTTTGTGGCTAGAAATTACTGGCTGTGGTACTGGAAAACAGTAATGGAAGGAACATGCTGAAATAGTAATTGAAGTTTCAAAATAACTATCTGCTATGAGTCTGAACAAAGAATAGTTCTCATGTCTCGTGGGTGCTTGGACAGAATAAATATGCTTTTTTCCAGACAGCAGCATAAATAGCAGTATCAGTGCACTGCACCTCTGAGATCGCTAATATAGCTGCTGTCTATGTATTGTATGGTTGAGCAATCAAGAAATGGTGATTTTAAAGGGACTCGAAGTTCACACAGACAGTAAATTGTGAATTAGAAGAAAAGAGGAATTAATAAATTAGTATTAATGAATTTTACACAAACTCAGACAATAATTCTTTTTCCCTGGATGGGATATGTGTAAAAAGTATTTGCCAATATACAGTTGTGAAAACAATTATTCCTTTGTTGAAAATGTAGTACATATCTGAAAGCTAGAGCTTATGCAAATAAGCAGTCTGTGTCTTGAATGGTATATAGAATGTTCATTTTAGACCTTCTTGATGTTTAAAGAAACATTATATGTTTGGGTATTGATAATTTTTATAACTTACAAACATTTAAGAGAGTTAATAGTGATATAATGAACAAAAATTTTGACAAATATTCAATCAATACTTATTTGAATGGCCCCAAATAACCAGGGTCTGTTAAGGCACAAGGGAATGAACCACTCATGGAAGTAATGAAACAGATGAGTAAGGGAGGATGAGAAAAGAAGACAATAAAATGGAAGTATACTAGAAACTGGGGTAAAAATCATAGAGTAGCTTTCTAATTCCTTTATTCAATCAGTCATGAAATTATTTGTTTATTTCATGTACTGATGCACTGATCAATTTATTCATGTCCTGATGTACTGGTCAATTTATTTTTATTCATTCAACAAATACAAATTAAAATGAGTAAGTATTATAGTTTAAATACTATATTCAATACACAGTTTAAAATTGTTTTTATTATATTGTATCGATTTGCAAGACATAAACACAAAACTACCTGACTCTTTTGCTTACAAGATAATTACACTCCTTTGTAAAATTCAGATGAGAAAGATTATTTCCATGTTTGGAGATGGCCAGTCATTGAGATGGAGAAAGTAACATATGGGAGGAACTCGGAAGTTATTTCAGGTATCAACAGAGGAAGTTGGATGTCAAAATCATTTCAAATATAAAGAATATAACATGTGTAAAATTACAATACGAATTGGCATATCTGGAAGAAAAGATGTGGAGTGAGACAGATTTGAAAAGCTGTTATGCTATGTAGTTCCTCCTTTGAAAGCACTCCTAAACCTCCACTCCTA